GTTTTTTTTTTTTTTTTTCGTTTTTTTTTTTGTTTTGTTTTTTTTCCCCATCACTGCTTTATCAGTGAAGCCAGCCAGGATTCTCTGTGTGGGTGATTTTCGATTTGCCAGCCTGAGTTGAGAATAGGTTAGGTGCTTGCTGCAGAGGTGTGTGTGTGTGTGTGTGCGTGTGTGTGTGTGTGTGTGTGTGTGTGTGTCTGGAGAGGAATGAGGAGAGTGAGGGGGAAGAAGAGACTTATGCTTCTTTGGACCATTGAATTGGTGCCTGGAGCATTTGCTGTTCATCACTGCCATGGCATTGTTTGCTATTTGTAATAGACTATTTTTATTGAGATATCAAATAATAGAAGACTGGCAAATATGAAAGTCTCTTTCAGACTGTGATTGCTTGTATGTGTTTGTGTGTGTAAATGCACTATATATTTGATCTGTTCTAATCACCATGACAACTGTTTAAAAGGGTAATTAAAGAGATATGCAAACCATTAACACATATTTTTAACATGTCATTTCGACTTGGGCAGTTCCCTAACTCCATGAAAATTGCAAAGGTTATTCCTCTGTATAAATCTGGTGATAAACACAACTTCACAAATTATAGGCCGGTTTCTCTGTTACAATTTTCATAAATATTGGAAAAACTCTTTATCAATAAATGTATCTAATCTGTTATTAAACATAAAATCCTCTCTGATTGTCAGTATAGTTTTAGGTCGAACCGATCGACATCTTTGGCCATTACCGACCTGATGGAGGACATTACAAGTGCCATGGATGAAAAGAAATAAACGGAATATTTATTGACCTAAAAAAGGCATTTGACACAATAAATCATGAATTATTAATTTGCAAGTTGGAAAAATATGGGATCAGAGGAGTGGCTTTGAATTGTTATTTAACACAGAGGCGTCAATTTGTGAAGTTGGGTGAATATCAGTCGAGTGACATTGTATGTGGGGTGCCTCAAGGTTCAGTCTTGGGACCAAAATTATTCATACTATACATTAACGATATGTGCAAGGTTTCGGCTTTAGTGAAAATGGTCTTATTTGCTGATGACACTACGATATGGGCATCCGGGGATAACCTACATCAACTATCGGGACAGGTTTCACAGGAACTTGAGAAGATGGTGTGATAGTAATATGCTATCTATGAATATGGATAAAACTAAATTTATGGTATTTGGGAATCGTAGACTAGATAACGAACTGCAACTGAAAATAGGGGGAGTCATAATAGAACGAGTATATGAAATTAAATTTCTAGGTGTCATAGTGGATGATAGAGTCACCTGGAAATCTCATATCAGATATATTCAGCATAAAATAGCAAAAAACATATCGATATTGGCAAGGGTTAGACATATTTTGGACATAAAAGCACTACGTATTTTGTGTTCTTCGTTGATTTTACCATACTTGGAGTATGGCATTGAAAACTGGGGAAACACATACATAAGCTCACTTCAACCATTGTATATATTACAAAAAGGAGCGATAAGAATTGTGCATAAGCTGGGATACAGGGATCACACCAATGGAGCTTTCATACAGTCTAATTTGTTAAAATTTTTTGATTTAGTGGGATATAAGACTGCTGTGTTTATGTATAAAGCCAGGAACAATTTATTACCTGGTGGAATTCAAAAACTATTTAATGAAAGGGAAGGGGGATACAATTTAAGGGGTCAGTTAAATTTAAAAATTCATGCTATACGTACAACCAAAAAAAGATTCTGTATTTCCATAAGTGGGGTAAAACTATGGAATAATTTAAGTGTGGACATAAAAAACAGTAAGAAAATTGATGAGTTCAAAAGCAGATATAAAGGTATGTGTCAATCAAGATATGGGCAAGAACAGGCTTAATGATTAATCAGATGGGAGTGTGGTGTAGAAGATAATTATTTATGTAGAGATACTGCTTGCAAACCAATGATGGTAAGATGATGTTAGGGGGTAGGACTGGATAAGTCTAACTTCTTCCTACTCCGTTCAAGCATGTACTAGGTATAAGCAAATTGAAAATATATTTGTGGATATGTCTGGATTTATGTGTGGTTACATACTGACTGTTACATGTTTGAAAGAATAAATAAATCAAATCAAATCATTACACAGGCTTTGTGATTCTACGGTGTTTTCTCTCCTAGGTAAAGGTGACTTCACTGCAGATGAGGGAACATGTTGGCTATGGACCAAGGAGTGGTAGAGGAATGGCTGTCAGAATTTAAGGTACGGTTTTACTGTGTGTGCGCGCGCGTGTGTATGTGTGTAATCACGTGTGCGCAGAAAAGCAGTACGTTCTCTGATGCTGTTTATTATTGGCAGAATTTCTTCCACACACATAAACAAAACCTCTCTGAAGTGCTTTGTTTCCAGACAGTTTCTTGCTCCCACTCAAACATGAGTGCTCACTGATATGTGACCACCACCACAGCTAAGGCTCAGTGAGATGTAATAACAAAAGTGCAGATGAGATTTTCCTGTGCAAACCTTGGATGACCAGCCCTTTTGTCCCCAGACTGAAGTTAATGCCAGCTCAAAAATATCACTTGGAGCATTCTACTTGCCCTTAAAGCTGCAAAACCACAAATTGCGATGTTGCTTATACTTGCCAATTCATTCTTATTGATATCAGTTCTGTCTCATTTACCAGTAATCATAATATTAGGCAGATTTATTGCCTTAAAATTATGCAGTCTCATGCAAAAGTTTAGGCACCCCTTGATAAATAACAGATTTTGGTGATTTTTTATTTGAACAGATGTTAACACAGTTTCTCTTGGAAATGGAAAAAATGCACAATATTTTCTGCAAACAGTGATGCATAGTTACTTCTTATGCCATAAATTGAACAAAAATAAAAAATAAAAACATGATTATGGCATGGTGCAAAAGTTTGGGCACCCTAAGAGTTCCAGAGTCTCAAAGTCTCTCACAAGGTATCAGACCTTAATCAGCTCGTTAGATCTGATGCACAGCAACAGCTGTCATTGGTAAATGCCAATTTCAAAGCTGTACAAATACTTTGACTCTTCAAACCTTGTGCACACACTTGTGGACACCCAGCAACCATGGGTTCCTCTAAGCAGCTGTGTAAGACCCTGAAAATGAAAGTTATTGATGCCCACAATGCAGGAGAAGGCTACAAGAAGATAGCAAAGCGTTGTCAGCTTGCAGTTTCCACAGTAAGAAATGTAATTAAGAGATGGCAGATCAGGGGAACTGTGGAGGTCAAGATGAGATCTGGAAGACCAAGAAAACTCTCGGACAGAACTGCTCGTATGCTGGTCAGAAAGACAAATCAAAACCCCCATTTGACTGCAAAAAACCTGCAGGAAGATTTAGCAGACTCAGGAGTGGTGGTGCACCGTTCCACTGTGCAGCGATGCTTGCACAGACAAGGCCTTCATGGAAGAGTCAGCAGAAGAAAACCTTATCTGCGTCCCCATCATAAAATCCAACGTCTGAAGTATGCAACAGGACATCTACAGAAGCCCGATGCGTTTTGGAAACAAGTGCTGTGGACTGATGAAGTTAAAATAGAACTCTTTGGACACAATCAGCAAAGGCATGTTTGGAGAAAAAAAGGAGCAGCATTTCATGAAAAGAACACCTTGCCAACTATTAAGCATGGGGGTGGATCTATCATGCTCTGGGGTTGTGTTGCAGCCAGTGGCACAGGAAACATTGCACGGGTGGAGGGAAGAATGGATTCCACTAAATACCAGCAAATTCTGGAAGCAAACATCACACCATCTGTAAAAAAGCTGAAGCTGAAAAGAGGATGGCTTCTACAACAGGACAATGATCCTAAACATACCTCGAAATCCACTATGGAATACCTCAAGAGACGCAGGCTGAAGGTTTTGGAATGGCCATCACAGTCCCCTGATTTAAACATCATTGAAAATTTGTGGGTAGATCTTAAAAGAGCTGTGCATGCAAGACGACCAAAGAATATTACAGAACTAGAAGCCTTTTGCAAGGAAGAATGGGAGAAGATCCCAAGTACAAGAATTGAAAGACTTTTAGCTGGCTATGAAAAGCGTTTGCAAGCTGTGATATCTGCCAGAGGAGGTGTTACTAAGTACTGATTGTGTAGGGTGCCCAAACTTTTGCACCATGCCATAATAATGTTTTTATTTTTTATTTATCCTGGACTTAATGTGAATCAATGGACAAGTGCTAGGTTTGAACAGATAAAATTCAGACCACATCAACAAATGTTTGGCTATTCAGTAGTCCCTTCTCAAATTGTCAGGCTTAGTTTTATATATAAAATATCAGTAAGACTGAAGTCAGTAGTTTATCAAACTTCAACTGTTTGTGTGTGTTTCAGACCCTTCCTGACAGTGCTGTGTCCAACTATGCTGCTTCACTGAAAGACAAAGGTGCCCTGGTTCCTGCCCTCTACAAGGTCATCCGAGAGAACTATAGCGATGTATGCGCACACACTATAATACACATTCTTTTTTCTTTTTTTTTTTTTTTTTTTTAATTTACAGTATAGACCACAAAGAGTGGATAATGCAGCCTTTCGACCACACAGAGTCTTTTCTTAGGTCTCTAGTGCCACTGTTGTCCTCTGAGCTTAGCATCTTCTGATTATGTTACATGTTCTTTTATCTTAATGTTTTTATATGTATGAAAAATTTTTAACAGCTGCAGTGGCATTTGTTGTCTTTTTTCTTTTTTTTTGTAAACTGATGTTGTGATGGATCCATGTACCTGTGTCTTTGGTTGTCTGTCCTTCCCCAGTTGCTGGAGCCGGTGTGTCACCAGTTGTTTGAATTCTACCGGAGCGGCGAGCCACAGCTGCAGCGTTTCACGCTACAGTTCCTTCCAGAGCTCCTGTGGAGCCTCCTGTCCATCAGCGCAGCCAGAGACCCCCACACATCTGGCTGCATCGAGGCCCTCTTGCTGGGCATTTATAATTTGGTAGGGGAGGGGATAAGGGCAGTGATGGCTGTGGTGCATTTAGGCTCCCCCCCACCACCACATTCTTGCCACTGCAGGTGTTTTATTTGTTACCGGTAGAGGAGAGTTGCTCTTGTTACAATAAAATGTTTTCAGTATGGTGATTGCAAAGTCCTCGATTCTTAGCAAGTGGGTGTAATCATGTGGTTCCAGAAACAGGGGACTCAGCCACTCAAATATATTTGTCTGCGTGTTTTGAGTGATTACACCATTTCTGTGTTGTTAGATGGCTATGCATGATTAGTGGCAGAAAATGTGGTTTGGAAACAGGAGAACTGAAACACAATAACTTTACACATAGATAATATGAATGGGTTGTTTGTTGCAAATACCCTAAAGCCTCCCACAGACAGATGCCACCACTGATAATTATTAAAGTGGTGATTGTGGCTCTTGATGTTCAGAGTAGTTCAGTTCCTCTCTGAATAGTAGAATAGGTCAGCTGTCACTCAACACAGCAGCTAGCTCCCTTTAATCTATTTGATATTAATATGTGCACAGGAGACACCAAAACCCCATGGTTTGTGCATGTGTTCACACAGCATACACAAACACCAATACATAGAATGGGTAAACACTGACCCTGAGGTCCACACATAACAGATGAGTGCGCTTGAAGAGGTAAACTCGCACTCTTCAGAGATTAAGGGCATGCACAGGAAAAAAGCTTTTGTTTTTCTTGCCCACAGAAACATTTCCCCCCTTAGTCTTCCTGTCTTTCTCTTTCACAGGAAATAGTTGATAAAGATGGACAAAGTAAAGTGTTATCATTTACTGTCCCTTCGGTCTCCAAACCCTCAGTGTACCATGAGGTGAGAAGTGCACACAAATGTTTTCATTTGCATTTGCAGAAATATTCAGTTTAAACTTCATCTTCACCTCCCCACCTCCAGCCTTCAGCTATCGGCTCCATCGTGCTTACTGAAGGTGCTCTAGCCAATCACGGGCTGAGCAGAGTGGTGTACAGCGGGCCACACCTCCAGAGAGAGACCTTTACTGCACAGAACAGGTAAAATGTGCACATTTGTCACAAGTCTTTAGGACAGGTGGTGACATGTCAGCATGGTGGAGAATGTTTTGTAATGAGCGTTCCTTGTAGCAGGCTGCCAGTCTGCTGCTTTGAACTGGCAGCAAACAACTAATGTACTAAAATGTAAATGTGCATGAAGGAAGATAATCTGAGAATCACCACTTGTGTTAAAGGGAAGAGCTGTGCACTTGTAGTGATCTCAACTTTTTTAACAAGCTTTTGTCTTTAAAGTTGTAAATGCAGTAATATGGTATACAGTACATATGGTAGCTTAACTTTAGAGCATGTCCAGTTTTATTGACTCCTATCCCTAAATCAGACTTGTGTGTGGTTATGGTGTACACAGTATTACATAGAGTCAAGTATCTGGACATGTACATGTTTTTGTTCTTCAGGTTCTGTGTTTCAGCACATTTCATAAGAAATTTAATAATGGATGCTACATTAAAGTGCCAAGTCTCAGCTATAACTTGAGTAGATTTACATTAGTAATAAAAAAAAAACAGTGTGGAACTAGAGCCCCAAAGATACAGTATGTTCCTGGAGTTTAGGGGTTGAAAGTATCCAAATACTTGTGGTCTCGAGTAACTGTCTGAGGTTCAGCTGTATTAAGTGTGCAATTTTTGGGTTATCTCACATTGTGATGTGGATGGAAGCAAGACGTGTGGTTTTAAATGTGTGTTTGTGTTGAAGATTTGAGGTACTGACCTTCCTGCTGCTGTGCTACAATGCTGCTCTCAGCTATATGACCTCCACCTCCCTCCAGTCCCTCTGCCAGCTCAGCTCCAGGTAAAACACACACTGACATATCTGCATATCTTAAAGTACTTCAACAACCTGTAGGTCACTTTGTTATGAGGACTTTATACACGCACACTAATTTCATACTACAGTCTTCACTGGTCTTAACATTGCATTCCCTAGCTCATTATTCTATCTCTAATCTAAACCTTAAAACCAAGTCTTAACCCTCAAACAGCCCTTTGTGAGAATCAGTCAAGTTAATCTCACTGTGATGATTTTGGAGCTCACATTTGTCCACAGAAAAACTGAAAGATGTGCACAAACTCACTCATAAATACCCATTCTGTTTTGCCTGCACTTACTCATCAGATGGTCAAATACTTGGCTGCCAGAGAGAGCCAAAGTAGCGCTATTTGGCAAAGAGCTGCTGTGTACAGTACACACATCCTAGCACAGCTACTAGTAATCTGCCAGCTGCTGCTGAGTGTTGGTATGATAAGCACAGAGCTAAAGAGAAGTCATCAGCTTTGATTTCCCTTTGACAGTTTGAGGTGTGTCAGTTATAGAGGAGCTTCAAATGCACAAGCGTTGTTTTGATTCCTTTTTTTTTTTTTGCAACTTGTATGATACCTGCTTGAAAATGATCAACTATCTAGAGAAATCATTCAGTATTTTAAAATCTTGTTGGTGATGCAGTAAGCTATTAATGTTTTCTTATATAGTATACATTTAATTGTGATGGCTAAGGGCTAGGGGATGCATAATATGAATGAGTGTCAAGACATGACTCTGCAATTAGTGACTCATGCAAGTTTTATATCCGCCTACCACAGGGAAGTAAATTGCCTTAACGCAGCTTCAGCCAAATGGCTTCACAGAGCCGTTTCCCCAAATTAAGCTTCCCTGTCTCTCTCATACAAGCTTCCCTGTTGTGTTTGTTATTGGTAATTCCCCAGGTTGTGTATATGCGGTTACCCACGGCAACAAATGCGGCGCTACAAAGGCATCAGCATACGGATGACAGTCACGTCAGAGTTCCTGGTTCAACTCATTACAGGAATACACTATGCCTTGTGAGTGCACACACATGCCTGCACACACACAGCCATACTAACACATCACAGCCTCAGTGTTCAACTTTAACTTTTCATTTCTTATGTTTATTGAAGTTTGTCTAATGTAATCCATGTCCTATCCAAGTGACAGCACTTGATGTGGTCTAAGAATACGTAGCTGTGATTGATCCTTGAGCCTGTACATTCTTCATTTTGAGTCAGCACAAGTTCACTTTTGACATTGTTGTCACAATATAGCGTGATTAGATGCCATCAAAAATGACTTATTGATGTCTGCTGTCTCCAGTATCAACCAGAATCTGGTGCTGACATAAATATGTACAACATGACTCTCTCAGGTTTGATTTGAAAATCAAGCGCTTAATTTGGATCCAAAACTTGTGTGTTTGGTGTATTTACATACTTGTGTTTGTGCATGTTTGTAGGTGTAATGGGGAAGTTGAACTGGGATCCAAAGCACTGGATGACGTTCTGTATCGAGCCCAGCTAGAGTTGTTCCCTGAAGCTCTATTGGTGGGTACAGTAAGATTTTTCTGCTACTGTCACATTTCTCTCCACTGTGTGTGTGTTTTTGCACCTGTGATTTAAGATTGTATGTTGGTGTCTCTGAGAGAACATGTGATTTAGATGTATGAGCTGGCCTTTGGTTTTGATTCATGCACAGCACACTATATCGCATTGTGTTGGTTTATATGTGTGTGTCAAAGACTGAGTAGGGTGTAATCTCATTAGATTATTTACATGCTTTCAACTCTGCTCTGTTAAGATGTAATCCTTGAGGCCCAGACAGTAGGAGGATTGAACCTAAGACCACAGTATTACTACACAACAGTGAAAGCACGTGACCTGTGTTTTTCATTAAGAAGAATAGAGTTTTTAAAATATGTATGCGCACACTATTGTGGAAGGGCTCAAATACCAGAGTTTCGTTCAGTGTGCTTTTTTTTTTTTTATGGGTTTTTACTTGTTGAATTTGAATGCACCAGGTGGCTGTTAGCTTAGCATAGCATGATGACGTGTCCCTCACAACACCAGACAGAAGACATGTTTTGCTGTGATTATGATGCAGATTGCCTCGTGCTATTTATTCAGCTGTTAACATGATCATTAGTGCAGGTGCCACTTGAGAACTTCCAACAAGAGCAGAGGTTATTATATAAACACTTATGAAACCGTGTTAGATGGAGTTAAGTACAAAGCCTTTTGTGTTTCACTAGTTTGTGCAACTCAGTTAGTGTGTGTGTTTGTGTGCCAACATTTAGATTATCCCAATCCCTAAATCTGATAGAAATGAATAATGTTATTGGTTCAGTCACATGAACTTCAATGTGATTTAAACATTTTGTATTATCATTGGTGCAGCTTTACAGGCATCATGTATTGGGCCAGTGCTATTGCACATTTCTAAGTGATCTGTCCTGCTCACGAGTGATGAGACAAAAAGGCTTTTTTTTTCTGGAGCTGTACTTGCTCACAGTTCTACTATGTTATCACTTAATAGCCAGCAGGCAAAACTGAAAACAGGCACTTGTAATTTTGAGAGAATACCAAAATGAAATGTAGTATTGGCATTTCATACCTTTTGTAACATGCAGTAGCCAATGGCTAGAAAATTGAGACCAAGTCCAAAACTAAAAACCCTTAAAGTTTTAATCCTCTTAATATTACACCATACTATAAATAGGTTAAATTGAAATATAAGCTGTAAAGACTTGCCAGTAAGGTCTTTTTAAATGTTGTCATGAGTGATGATTGATTTAAAAAGCCATCTCCTGTGCCTTTAACTAAGCTTACACCATATGTTTGATTCATCCTCAGTTCTGAAAAATAACACTATAAATAAAATGTCAACTTGTTGAGTGACTACCAGTCTTCAAGTTATCATAGACAAAGAAGAACAAAAAAGTGAATCAACAGTCAAATAGACAGACAAAGTAACAGGACCCTGTTATAATTTAGCAGCAGATTAAAATGAGTCAGGGTGGTGGCTAACCTGCCAACTACTGGACCAATTAAGTTTTGACTGAGGGACTCTGCATTTGCACTGTGGACCCCTGTTGTCCTGCACAACTTTCAGTTGTTACAGTAGTTAACCATGTTGCATGCTTTTTCTCGCCCTCAGGTGGGTAATGCCATAAAGTCGTCACTGCGCGGGGCAGCACTGAAGAGCAACAGCAAAGAGGGTGCACGGAGTATCCAGGTTGAGATCACACCCACCTCCTCCAGGATCTCCCGCAATGCTGTCACCTCCCTCTCTATCAGGGGACACCGCTGGAAGAGACACGGTGAGACTTGTGCACAGGGGAGCAATGTGTGAACGTAGCTGCAGGAACTCACTTCACTGAGACATGAGAAGAGCTCTCACACACTGTGGACACATTTTAATAGCATAATAAAAATAGAGTAAGTCCATGCCAAAGAAGAGACCAAGAGGTTTAGATATCCTCATCATCCTACCACCAACACCACTGTCCCATATTTACTGTGTATACAAGTGTTTCCAAAAGTGCTGCAGCTGAAACTGAAGCAAGTCCAGCTGCCACCTTCAGCAGTTCAATATACTGTGACCTGGATGACTGAGAATCTCCACAGACATACCAAAGCATTGTCATCATCCTTCAGCCCCCATGCCCATAGATCACCATTCCTCAGCTTGCTATCCAGTACCATCCATCCCTAAATGATGACTTCTGATCTCTTAGGATTTGTTGGTAGCAATACAGGGACAGAGACACATTCACATTGAGAGCAGTCAGTGAGATACAGCAGCTGCAGCCATACAGTACGGTTCAGTGCAGCACATGATCCTAGTTTGACAGACAGGGGAAACTAGTGAGCAGGTACTGTAGTTACTGTATATACAGAGATGTAGTGTGCAGTATACACTTCTATTGAATGTTTGTGTACTGTAGTTTCTGTGCCAAAGAAAATGTATAAAATTTAGATAACCACAAGCCATTGAAACTTCATTGACTTTAAAGAGTGCAGAATAAAAGACGGTCTGCATGTGGTTTAGAATTAAGAGGGCCACGCTCTTTCTCTAGAACACAGATAAGGCAGGTCAATTACAGCCTTCAGTTAGTTTAATGAATAGGTTTCATCTGGAGCCCCAAACCCGTTGTTCATTGCAAGGCTCCTGCTTGTTAATGTGCCAAGCTTTTGTTGTGAGCAGATGATGGAGGAAAATGCTTTTAAATATTAATTCATGTGTAGGGGTAAGTGATGACCCAGTATGAAATGTGATTCCATTCAAATATTGCTCATATTCATCCCCATATAGCACGTACTTTGACCATGTGTTGTGTTCTAATCACTATGATTTTTGTCTGCCATTACATTGATTACCTCTGTGTGTGTCATGTGTGCCTGTGCACATGGCCGTTTTTTGGTGTGTGTGTGTGTGTGTCTATATCATCCCATTACCTCCCCCATGCTCCCCTTCACCAGAGTCCCAGGAGGTGAGTGTAGACAGTGAGACTGCCCACGGGGGCATGCCTATCCCCGAGATCAGTGTGACAGGCGTGAGTGGCGAGCGATTACTCAACGGAGACTCCCTGCGGCCACGCCCCGATGTCCGCAGCCATCCTGATGGTGACATGTTGGGTGCCACCTCTGAGGTCAGCCTGGACTCAAGAGGTCATGACTCCGGTACACGGGGTCAGGAGGTCAGAAGGCAGAAGTCTGTGAGGCGAATGGTGGAGAATGAGGGTTCTGGATCAGCCTCCACAGGCAGGAGCCAGTACTAAGATCCTGCCCCTCTTTCCCCCTGCCACACTCCCAGGGCAACCTAGGTAACTGTGTGTAGGGGCGTTATAAACCTGCATGACAACTTCCCCCTTTACCTTATTGCGCTGGGCTCCATCACTGTCTTTTTGCTTAATTGCACTATTCCTCTCATCTGTCTTCATTGATTTACTTTCCTTTGTGGTTACAGCTCCCTCATGAAGATAACCTGCTGAAAATCCTTAAAATTAAATTAATTTAGCATCTACCTGAATAACAGCTCGGCAACCTAATAAAAAATGCATAATAATGAAATGTGCTCGACTGAATAATAAAAATGGATTAACACTTGCAAAATCAAGTGGATACTGTTAAAAGCAGAACATCGGTTAAACAAGGATCATAAACAATGGGTATAAAAGTAGGTTTATGAACATTTTGCAATACACATGCCATATTGTACTGTAGATATAAACCTTGCTGTGCCAGGAAACTTCACACGTACAATGTTATTTTTGAACCTAACTCCTGAGTTTTTGCTAAATAGACCAGTAAGCCTTTTGGTCTTTTCAGAACACCCTGGTATACCTTGACACTTTGCTATGGATTTCACCTGGAAACTGATCACTGTGCTGTGTTAACAGATTAAATCTGACCAAGAAAGATAGGACCTGTCTGTCAATCTGTTTACTGGTGTTCTGTTACAGTAGTAGCATCAGATCAGAAGTGTGTGTTTGTGGATGTTTTGCTTTTTGGGTGTAGATGCATGGCTTGAAGATAGCAGGAAAGTTGTGTGCAACTTTAGAGTTGGAGAAGAGAAACGCATTTAAGGTGGACTTATTTGTACATTTATTACCTTCCTTTGCTTTCTGTCTTTGGTCTTTCCTAGGCTTATGCTCTTAAACACTGTCCTCTCTTGCCTTTGGGACAAAATGTGCTCCACTCCACTGCCAATAAACCACTGATTGTTGTATTGTGGGTGCTGCTGATTATCCTAACATGTGCTGGACTGGAACATTGTTCCACCTGCTAGACAGCTCCTCATTCAGTCATAGCTTTCATGCAAACCTTTTAATGCATAACATATTCTTTTTAAACTGTTTTATCTTAATTTTATTGGATCCGGTGTGCTGGATGACAGGTTGTTAGTTTTACTCTGTGCTCCTGTTGTTAACTGCTTATTTTGTCCCTGTCTGTCCATCTCACAGATGCTGTGGATCTGGGCTCCCCAGATGAGCTGATGGATATTTCCGAGGTGGATGAAGGGGTGTGGCCAGGTGGTGTAGGACCTGACATGACCCTACCCACCATCACTATCAGCAACAGTGTCACCACGTTGAACCTGGGGGCCAAGGCCATGAAGAAGTGTCGGCTCGGTGGGCGAACCAGCAAGGACAAGGATAGGGAGGCGGGCCCTCTCATAACCGGCCGGGCTGCCAGCGAGAACACAGAGCTGTCCATCAAGAGACTGACGCTCACCTCCAGCCAGTCAGTGCCAAAGGGAGGAGCTCTCACCAGCCTGACACGCACTGCCAGTGCGGTCTTCTCCCGCTCCTTTGAGCAGGTGACCAGCGGCAGCGCCCCTCCCTCCAGCAACCACACCGCTTCTGAAACGGGCCGATACTCATGCAGTTTACAGGAGGACGGGCTGGGGTACTTGAGTCCTACGCCAAACCACACGCAACGCTCTCCCAGCATCAGTGTGCACCTCGGCTCTGACCTTTGAACCAGATGTGTCTCCTGACCACCTAAACCCTCGCCTCTGATCTTGTGACCCTACACCTGTGACCTGGAACTCAAGCCATGCCAACTATAACGGCCCACAGACGCATGAATAAACACTCCCGCTGTGTCTCTGGTTACTCCATTTTGTTTTTGACTCTGTGTGCTGTGAACCAGCCTGCTGCCCTGCCTCATTCAGACATCCAGCACAACCACCACTCCCTCTGCTCTCTCTTCTCCGGTAGAGTTACCTTGAAGTCGTGCCACAATAAACCTGCACTCTGCTGCAGAGCAGCTTGTTATAAGTGGATGCACTTGAAGCTTATTAAAAACTGTTTCTGGAAGGTGTTTTAATTGACATTTGTTGCTTTGCATGCCTTTTCCTTACATTCATCCTGACCTTGCCCAGGTTTGTCACAGGGCACGTGGATTATGTGTGCGCATGCTTGAGCGTGCGCCGTGTGTTTGTGCGTGCGTGCGTGTGTACACTTGTTTTTAGAGTAAAGGCTGCTGATTGATACAGTGATCAAGGTATGATTTTCCTAGTTGAAATAAGTGTTTATACTACTTTTTTAAAAATAGTGGACACCATCCCATAGCAATACAAGTCTCTTCTACTTGGTGTTTTCTATCTTTTCCTCCCAAACTCATTTTTATCAACACTTCTTTTCTTGGTCAACAGTTTCAGCTGTGTTTCTTGAAAGAGTCCACATTCTTCCCTTACAGCATCAGGAAAATGACCCCTAAATAATCAACTAGTGTGATTAAAAATCTGTTCTTTATGTTTACAATTGCACAGTATTGGCATCAAGATGGAGAAGCAATATTTGTTCCCCCTCACTCATCTAGCACCTTCCTGAATGGCTATTTTATGACAAAAAAAAATCCAGCTTTGGACAAATGACAAGGATGTTTTTGATTTAGGGGATGATGGGTATGTATGATTTCTTAAGTATTGAATTTTGCACTTGAAAGAGTAAACAAGTTGCTTTCAACTTTGGTATTTTCATATGAAGAAAAGGGTGGTTTGACCCTCAACTGTGGAAATTTCCTGTGAGAGTTAAATGCTTTGTTGAGCTGTGTAGTTTCATGGGGGTGGGTGGGGCAGCTGGAGCCAGTCCCAGCTGACATTGGGCGACTCGACAGGTCGCCAGTCTACAGGGCTGACACTTAGACAACCACTCACACCTACACTCACTCCTAATGGGCAATTTAGAGTCACCAGTCAACCTAAACTGTATGTCTTTGGACTGCGGGACGAAGCCAATGTACCCGGAGAGAACTGACACGGGCACAGGGAGAACATGCAAACTCTGCATCAAAAGGCACCAGGTTGGCCAGGGCTCGAACCAGGAACCTTCTTGCTGTGAGGTGACAGCGCTCCAAATAAACCAAAAATTACCAAAATAATTTGATACTTCTGAATAAAGCTGTGTTAGCTTGACCAGGACTTGAAATGAACCTGTTCCTGTTTTCTGCCATTCAGGGGCAGTATGTCTTCACTCAACTCCATTTCAGCTATGTGAAGTACTCTGGTGATGTGTTTCCTGTGTCCCCAAGCTGTTCATCATGGCACAAAACACATAATATTCTCTTCTACCAATAAAATAAAACTCACCCCATCTGCTACATTTGATGTCCTAAATCAAGTGTTCATGCTGCCCCACCCTCAAGCAAATGTGTATTTTGTTGTTTGTGTACTAGAACTGTTGAGTGTCCATCGCTTGGTGGGACAATTAGCAATCATAGTATTCCTGTATGTGGGTTTACATAATGTGAACAGGTGAGCTCTTGTTGTACATCATGCTGTTGTACTAAAGTTTGCTTCTGGGAATAAAGTGTTTCTATAGCACACTGGTGTGCTCAGTTTTATTTTTAGGATTTTGCCACAAAACATTGCAATTATCATTTCAGGCATCACTTTAAACTACAAATTTCAGGCACCTACTGTATTGTTTTATTATAAACACCATGGTAAATTTATTTCTGCCCTCACTGAATAATGTGTACAATGTTAGGGTTGTCTAACTGTATATATATAGTTGGCAAACACATTTTATCTAATAAATTGGCTAGAAAATATGTGTTGTCCATGTAAATGCTGGCCAGCATGTTCAACACTACAGGTGGAGGAAGGCTGTGTTAGTAGTATAGTTAATGAGAGTTAATGGGTTAGCTGGGGTGTCAAGATTGTTTTAAATTGGGGTTCAAAGTTCTCGTGCAGAACACTGTATATTATCATCTAATTCTACTATATGTCATAATGATTTAAAGAGATGAGTGAGGATCTCTTTCAGATAGCCTATCTGGTTTTGAAAGTTACCAAAACTTTGAGTAGAAAAAAAAAACAGGTTCCAGGCTTTCAATATCAGTATCACAGAATAAGGAGCAGTTTTTGTCCAAATTGGAGATATTCTTTAGTAATTCATTACCGATAAATGTCATTTAAATCTTCTAAATCGGTGTATTACAGTTTTTTTCTGTTGCTAACAAGCATTAACCAATACTTAAAATACTTTTTCTAAACTCTTAACACAGCAACACAGTTACATCACACACCTGGCCAAATGGTTCATTTTTGGACCAAAACCACATTTTGTTAAATAAATACAAACTTTACATTTCACAATGCAAAATACCATTTTCTACATATACTAACTTTATCAAAACACAGCAAACCTGACTCATAATTGAGTCGTTTGATCAAAACATTAGCACTAGTTTTCTATCCAACAGGAACATATAGTCAGTCATAGTGCACAGACTGTCAAAATGTAAAAAAGTAATCACTTTACAAAAATGACATTACTTCTCATTGAACTGTATACAATATGAAAACCATCTTTGATATCCAAAAATGTAGAAATACAGTAATTCAGTCAGCCTTACTGTAAACACACTAAAATTGTGTGTGTGGATAAATTTCGTATAGTATATGTACAGTGGAGCCATCAGTACTTTATGGATTATAAAAAAAAGGGCAGAATTGCTGCAGTAAAGGCTTTACGGTATTGGCATTTGCACATTGCTATCAGTAATCACAGAAAAAAGCACTTTGCTCTGTGTTTACAACAATAGACAAAAATAAAACAAAATGACAGACCAAAAAGTCCTAATCTACACGATCATCAGCATTTGGCCACATGTTCTCATCAACATCACACCTTATAATGTCTCTTGCTATGCACCTTGGAAAGAAACGTTTAGAATGCCTTATCCACTCCTGGCAATCTTTAGCTGAGATGTCTCTGCAGCCAGCCTCCATTGCATCCAGAAGGGACATTTGATCATGTGGTCGATGATCATAGACTTTCCACCTCCACGCAGACAAAAATTCTTCAATGGGGTTAAGGAATGGAGAGTATGGAGGAAGAAAAAGTGAAATCATTCTCGGATGGGCTGCAAACCAATTTGTGACTGCTTGTGAATGGTGGAATGCTACGTTGTCCCATGCAATAACAAATATTGTCATGTTTCCTCCCACTTGTTCCCTTTCTGCTTCTGGCACCAGTTGTTGATGAAGGTCATCTAAAAACAAAAGAAGGCGCTCTGTGTTGTAGGGACCTATCTGGCTTTTCTGCAGGACCAAACCAGCACTTGAGATTGCAGCGCACATTGTGATATTTGCTCCTCTCTGACAAATTGGAACCAGCTGTTTCCCAAGTAGAACAATAATTCTTATCAGCTCTTTGAGCTGTTGTGGCAAAAGTAGAGGCTTTACATTATATTTACTGGATTCTTTTTAAAGTCTTCAATTCTGTCATGATGTGTTTAAGCATTTGTTAGAGATATTTGAAAGATCCATTATTTTGCTATGGGGTAAGCTTGTGTGAAAAGAAAATGTAAGCATTTTAGAAACGTGTGCATTAACTAAATTTTGTGTGAAAACGACATTAATTGTATTAATGGTGGTATGGTCACAACAAACAGATGTTGTGATAATTGTGTTTAGAGTTTTGAAAATGTGAATACAGAATGGACAAATGGATGTTAGCAACTGCAAAAAACTGTAAATGCAGTGACTGCGGCTGATTTGTAGATACACATTTGTCCACCAGATGACGGCCTATGACTGAAGGTGTCAGTTTGGTCAGTTAACAGCAAGGTTTCCTCTACGTCACTTCCTCTTTGTCGTCCTTCGAGGTTGCGGCGTCCTCGCTGTTCGGGGTAAACACATGGCTAAAATGAGCAAAGAGACCAAGCAGCGGCTACAGCAGCTGTTCCAGTGCGGCCAGTTTGTCGTTCGATGGGGTTTTATCCCCACCGTGTTGTACCTCGGTCAGTATACGAAGAAGCAGGGAGGGAAGGCGGCGGGCTGTTGTCATGCCTGGCTAACTTTAGCCATCCAGCTTAGCTTAGTCGCCTTTGACCATAGATGCATATATTAACTGTTAAGCTAATATTAAAGTGTTTGTGGGTTGGTGGAGGTGTTGTAATAAGACATTATTGTCTGCCTTTATATAAACAACATATAAATCTTAATAGGGCTAAAAGGTTTCTCGCCCCCCCCCCCCCCCCTCACCCACTCCACCCGGATTTATTGTTTCTGTAGTTCTCAAGGGTTAATATGTATGGCTGCTAACTCATGGAGAGGTAGCTAATGCAATAATGCATGATGATGCATCAGTGTAGAAGTGAGTCAGTGCATCGAATTCATAGGGATATGAAGAAACTAGTTTAAGATTTTCATAAAGAATACAAGTATGTATGAAAGAGAGAGATGTCACTTTTATCTTTTTTATTTTAGATTGAAGAGCTTGAAGTGCTTCAGCAATACATCCTGGATAGTGGGTTAAACACAGTTCCTCTCCAGTGTAAAGAATGTCTGTTTCCATATATATTTTAGTGCTGGGGTTTTGAGCAGAGATGTGGAAATTAAGAGGTTTGCGTGGCTGTGGTTTGGGAGTAAAGATGGGGAAGTTGAGACTTTTGCATGTGTGACCTCACAGCCAGTGGAGTTGCCATCTCTGAGTGAATCTTCTCTGACTTCAGCATATTGGAAACACCAACTCTCATGTCGTGCTTTCTCCCCTCTTGTTTTCTTAGCTCCCCTATTTAAACTCCCCTATTTTATACATAAGATGATACTAGCATTGAAGTAACTAGTCATAGTATTAATCGATTTTCAGTCAGTTATTCTTTTCAAATACCAAGCCAGACCTATGTAGGTTTCAGCTTTTCTAATGTGAGCATTTGAACATTTTTATTTTTATCGTATTAACATGAACTCTTGTTTTTTTGTTTTACTGTTTATTGGAAACCTCTGGTTCTAAAACATGCACAATGGGCATTTATCATTCATAAACTAATTTTAAAAAAAAGTTCATATACTGTTTGATAAGAGAAGAACTGCAGTGAAAGTAATCAATTACTTTTGCTGATTACTTTCACTGGAGATTAAGGGGCACCCAATGTGATACTGTTTTTTTTTTAGTCTTCTAGGAACCTTGCATGTTTTTCTTAAGAATTTGCCACATCATTGATTCCACCTATGAGCTATGAATGAAACTAAAAAAAACTAGTTGGAAAATTAATGTGTTACTTTATGTGTGTGAAAGAGAGGTGGAGGCAGTGAGTCAGATGTGCTTTTGATGACATTTCAGACGTAATTGCAAGGGCCTTTTCCACAAAAATAGGATCTGCCGGATCCGGGCTGATGTCACAGCGCTATGATGCAACGATACCTTTTGATCAGACGGGGGTGTTTTACATGGGATAGCTGAAATCCTCTAATTATTGACTTGCAGTCAAACACTACATCATCCACTGTCAAAAGGACGCCCCCTACTTGGCAGGGGTGACTTTTGGTGTATTTAAATGCACATTAAGGTTTTATTCATTGTCTGATAAATCGAGTGAAAATGAGATAGGACGAGGTGCCTTTCTTCTAATTTACTGAGACTCTGCTGCCTACAGTGTTGCTGTTGTTATTCCAGCTTTTCCAAACTGTTTTCAAAATATGGTCCATAAATTTGCCTGTCACCTAGTGAAGTTTCAACAACAGTTTTGTTTTATTTATTCATTTATTCATTTATTTATTGTCATTTCAACCAGCCAGCCACGAAGGACCTCTCAGCTGCTAAAGGTCCCAAACAGTGGCTGGTCCTTCACAGCTTTTTCAAAAATGTAAACCAGTATCCTCCTTTATGGTTTGATTCACAGGTTTTAAACGAGGAGCTGATCCACGAATGCCTGAACCCACAGTTTTGAGGTAAGGTGAGACTGGTTTGAGATCTGTGCTTTTTGTCAAATCTTATTTGTGACTTCAGAAGCAGCACATGAAAAATGGTGCGAAATGCGATGTTAAAAGGAGGTTTTCACAGCCGTGCACCACAGGGCTGACTTTCCTTTAGTCATGGATTAGTTGAGCTAACTGTATAAATACTTTTAAAAGTAAAATCTGCAGCTGTACTTGTTGTTTCCTAGGTATTAAGACTGTGGAGATTTTGACTAAATGAAAACTGAATTATTTTATTTAATGTTCTGATTTCAGTGCTATTCAAATGTAAATCACGAGACAACACTTGTCCTGCCATCCCTCACCAGCCAGGACCTTAGGTTGCTTGTGCATGAGTACAACTATTGTCAGTAGTGCAATAACCTGTGACTCAGTACCAATTAAGTAGTCACACAGTGTGTCATACAATGAAGAAAACACACCCATAGCTTAGAACAATCCTTGTCAGATGTACGTCTGGGTTTCTAAGGTCAGAGATCAGGACAGCTTTTAAATCCACTGAATGTTTTTGTCTTGAAATAGTTGAAATAGTCCACACTGAAGGAGTCAGCAGGAGCAACTGCTGAGGCGCTGATAAACAAAAGTTTTATTTTTTCATCTGCAGGAATACTTTCTGTTTAATAAGAAATTAGTTTTGTGTCCTAAAAACTTCTGTCACCTGTAAATCCAGAGCATCCATTTGTTTAGATGTTAGCTGTTTGTAGTGAGCACGCTAAGTAAATGAAATACCTGATGCATTGGAACATTGTATTAAGTAACTGGAAATGAGAAGCATGTATGATCATACAGAGTTAATACATTACGGTGTGGACTTTCTAGTATGTTTTGGGCTTTGTATGTGAACTGTGGAGACTAGTTGTACCTTTATTGTTCTTTTCTCTAGTTTGCTGTGGGGTTGAGGAGCATCTCTACTCACCCAGTCTCCTCTCCACTTCATGACCATGTGACCTACCTGTTGTTTGATATCCAAGATGGACATTATTGTTCGCTCTCTTCTCCATAGACTGTACTGTCCAAATGTCTGAGAAATGAATTAAAGTTTTCTGTAGCCATACTGAGCATGGCTCTTACATATATAGTAAATGTTGGAGCATGTCAGCTACAACTATGGAAGATATTTGGCTGGACAAGCTGGAAACAAGACTGTGTGTCCCTGGAAATATGTTGCGCTGACTGGACTAGATTACCTTTTTCGAATGTGTGACAGTGAGCTTTGGATACACATCTGTTTCACATGCTCCCACTTTTTATTTGCCATTTAAAACTTCTGAAAATAAATCAAAGAAATGCAGAATAGTTCATTTTTTTTGTCTGCATGCATACAGATTATTCCTTTGTCACTAAGTTCATGTATGCTTGAAAATAATATTTAATAGCAAAATATGCAAGTAAACAATTACAAATATGAATGATACAGTCAATCTTTTCATTTATTTAAAAAATTAAGTGCTGCTCATGATTGTCATAATCCAGAAATGAATTGACATCAAAATCAGTCGAGCCAAATAGTATTTTCAGTGTAAGAATCTCACCATCTTTTTTTTTTTTTTTTTAGGCAGTAGTGGCAGCTTCAGGCCTTCCTGCCTACAGTATTAAATATACAGTGCATGCACTAGATTTACCCTTAAGATACTTGAGAGGACGATTCTTAAAAGAGTAACCTAGTTTCCCTGAGGTATTCCTTCGTAACTGCTTTTCATGACTTTCATCTGTTTAATGTTTGGTACACTCTGCAGCACACCGATGGCCGCACTTCTTCATTTCTCTCTGACAAATCGCTCTTTTGCCATCGACAAGAAAGTTGCGGAATTGCCTGAGGATACTGTGTGCAGTGATCCTGCTGTGGAAGGTGGTGTCATTTTCAATGTCCCTCAGCAGTTGCTCCTGCTGGCTGCTGGTCAGTGCCGTGACCCGTTCAGAGTGCCTCATCTGTGTGGCAGAAGTAACAGTAGTATATATCACTGAGCGGTTTTATATCATGAGCAAGAGCATTACAACTCCTTTACAATAAGATATGATCAGAGAAATTACTCAAAAATTAGCAGGACAAAATACCTTTTAATGATTGAGCTACAATTATTGGTGGACTAAGTACTACTGTACATACAATGTTGGTATTAGTGAATACATCTGCCCCCCCTTCTCTACTAAGGAACATATTTCCCAGCCAGTTTATAAACAGAACCTATGCTAATACAATGCATGGGTAATTAAACTACCCAACAGTATACAAAGTACTTAAAAATGAGTTCTACCTTGGCTGACTACAAGAGTAAGATACACAGGTTTGCACTTTTTTTTTTTACCTTTTAATAAGTTAGTAATTCAGAGACAAGTATGCAGAATCTCAGACCCACCTTTCCTTTAATCAGGCTGATCAGGTGCCTACTGTGAGATTTTGCAGCCAAGAGGATTAAATTGTTGGGATACTCCCTCTCCACATGTCTGAGGAGAACTGTATAGTTGTTCAGGCCTTCAACCAGCCTATGGAGACAAGCCTCCTGGAGAGAGGACAGAAAATCACCGTCAGCACTCAAATTAACTCCATCAACAGTTTCTCTTATCAGTGTAATAAAAGCATCAAAAGGAAAAGTCCTACTTACCATATTGAAAGAACTGAGGCACTTTTCTGGAATTGAGGGGATCTTGTACTGCTCCAGAGATGTAAATTTTATTCCACTTTGAAATTCAGCTTCAAACTGTTCAAGGGGAAATGATTTAAAATATACAGTGGAGATTAGGAGCGTTGTTAAGAAAATGAGACACCAGTCAGTACAATAACAAACAGTTTGTAAAATTTGGTGAAGACGATTATGCAACTGCAGAAATAGCGTAGTTCAGTGAAATTCTTGGAAAATAAAGCCTTTACCTCCTTTTGGTGGCCTTCGGTTGGGCCAAGCATTGAGTACCAAACTGGGTCGGCACTCAGCATTTGAGGGGCCTCCACCTCCTCACCTGATGGGCCGTCTTCCACACTCTCAGTGGTGATGTTTTCAACTGGAGCTCCAGGAGCACTCGGTAGCAGAGCTGCTAGCAACACTGCAGAGAGCAGGTACGCATCTGTGTAGAGAGGAAAAGCATGAATGAATGAAAAGAGGAATTAACACAGGAAACGTGTGCACCACAGGCTGCAAATCACTTACTAAGTTGAGAGGGCATGTTGCGATGCTGGGAAGTGCTTGTTGAGTTTCCACAGATGCTGAGGGCTGTCAGGGCCACAAGGAGTTGCCTTGTCTGTGTGATGGACTGACATTTTATACTCTACAGACCGGAGGAATTTCCCAATACCTCTGCAACAAGGAGGAATTGATTTGCGTGGAACATCCGTTCGCCATCCGCTGGTGGTTGATGATTCTGATGAAGTGTTCATCTTCATAATGACCAGCAAGGGAAAGAATTTAACTTAAAGTACAAGCAGCTTTTATCTTTTTTGGTATTGAGACTAAGTAATTATTTCAATAATTGGAACAATAGCCTAATCAAACACACTTAAAAAAACACAAACACACTGTCAGCGTTCATATTTCTGAACTTATAGCCTCTCACAGCTTTGTCAAATGGTTTAAAATGAAATTCTATTTAAAACTAAACATGCACAGTTGCATTCCAGTAGCATGGTAAATGGTTTTATACTTGTATAGCGGTTTTCTATGCACTGCAGCACACTCAAAGCACTTTCACACTATTTGGCCATTCACCCATTTGCACTTTCAAATTCACACACCGGTGACATCACTGGGAGTTCAGTGTCTTGCTCAAGGACACTTCACCACGGGGAGAACAGTATCTGGTATTGAGAAATCAAATTTACGCTTTTAATTCTACTTACAGTACACATGGAGAGAATTAGTTGCCTACTCCAGTCATCTTTCTTCACAATTCCCTTAAGATAGTTTTTTTCCACAGTAGCTAAATTTTTGTGTAATGTGTGTTATTCCCCTCACAGGACCAAATGAAATGATTAATATCCGTCATGTTGTGCCATCAAATTTTTATTGTTCAGATAATGGTATATATATGTTAAGATTTGCCATATTTTGTCTGTTTTGACCTGCTAAATGTTTTAAGAGGTCCAATAATATTACCAGTTTGTAATTTTTCTATATGGTAAAATTGCAAACTTTAGAAAACTTAAAACTTCATAATAATTATCTTCAATAAAAGTTAATACACTGTAGGCTACCTTAAAAAAAAAAAAGGTTATCCCTGAGCTCTTCCAATTCTGTTCTTTTTTGGGATGCTCATCTTTCAGAGTGACACCACAGTGTGCAAATATGCACTGGTATATTTTTAAACTACACTAGCCCATATTTATTACAGGCATTTTACTTTTACTCATCCGCTTATGTGCCTAGAAGCAGATTCTCAATAGCCTAAACCAATTTGTCGAATACTGTAAATCACTCTTTCTGCAAAACCTTAAACAAGTTCAGGCACTTAGACTCTGTTAACAAATCTCATGCACTTTTTTTGTAAAACATTTTCACTCACTAAAACACAATTCGCACTGTGATGAACCTGTGTTGCAAAACAGAGGACAGCAGAACTTAAACACAACTAAAGTACAGTTGTCATTGTTTACACACAACGATTTGTAGGGACCAAGTTCTTGCTACCATTGCTAACTCTGAGAGACGAGACAGTCCAAGTAACTTCAAAACAGTGCTGATTTATTCAAAGGATCACAGGTAAAATTAACATTACACGCTCAGATATCTTGCACCTCCAACATGCTCGCAGGCAGTTGTAAGATGAAAGCCCCTGAACCGAACCAGGCACATTATATCTACACATTAAATATACACCACCACATTATATCCTCTCGGTTGGGCTAGCCCCATACTACACAGAAACGTCAACCGAGACGTTTCTCTTACCAGCTTTGCAGCTGGCCATAGCAGTAGTCAAAACATGAAGCAAATCAACATGTGAATGTGTATGTCTGTTGGTTAAGTGGTGTGTAGCTAAAAACATTCTCACGACCTCTAATACATGTTGTGACTCGAACATAGGAACATTATGGCTAAGTCTACAGTTTTACACATCATAATAATAATATTAAACACCCTGTCTGCTGACAGTCATCAACTCTTCTTTCTGGTGTCCTTGACCAGATGT